ACCCTCACTTATCTTAACTGCACTAATGTATAGCTCTGTGTAAATAATCATTCTGTACATTCGATAATCTTTAATCCTACAACTGTTTACAACTTGCATAGTTCCCATTTCTGTATAGCTGTATATCCCAGATTCTGTAAAGTTATTTATTTCATATTCTGTATAGTTTTTCATATTTATATCCTGTTCATATCCTGTACATAGCTTGTACTCACTACAGCCTGTACATACTTATAGTTATAGAATATTCACAACATACTTCATACCGTGTACATTATAACATACCATAATAGACCCATTTCTGTAATATACTCACATATCTATATTATTGCTAATATATATTGTAATATATCTATATCACTAAAGCACTTCTGGATGGATGCAAACTGCATTTCGTTGCCCTGTACCTGTGCATGTGCAATGACAATAAAGTTGAATTCTATTCTATTCTATTCTATTCTATCATTGTGCACATTTGTTTCAAATCTTCAAACTCTTTTGAGACTGTAATGAGTGAGGCTGAAGAGTGAGCAGATCTTCTCTCTGTGGATCAGCTTTGTCCTGTCTTTACACCCAAACCTCAGGTGGCCTAATCAAGCACTGGGCCTTTGAAGTCTAACTAACTGCAGGCCTCCACGCTTCTCTTCTCTGTGTGTATTTGTGTGTGAATTGTTTGGGTCTGAACCAACACATGCTTGAGTCTACATTTGGAAATATTTTAATAGTATGGAGTATTTGCCTGTGTGTGTGTGTGATGTTGTGTGCCTGATCATTCTCCCCTTACTGCAGTAGCATTGACAAAAGAGAAGCGCTAATCTGTTTGCCATTGCAAATGTGTCAAAAGAAAAGCCAAGTGGATGAATCTTTTATCCCTATTATTTCACTATGTTCATGATGTTACGACAAATGTGTCCTTGATAACTAGAAAACATGTGTAACAATAATAGGTTTACAATTTAGAGTACATATAGTACATAGACTGACTCAGCCACTATCACCATTTGGACTGTGGATTACCATTCTGAAGCTTCCCCCAAGGTTGTTTTAAACTTCAAAATAACATAAAAAAGACGATGATTAATGGACCCATGGGCACTTTGCCCTAAAACTTTTGCCCTAAAACCTTAATTCCTGTCTTCTGTACATGGAACCATCATTTGGTAGATTAACAATATGATGTTTTAAATATATAACTTAAAACTAGCAATTAAGAAAATAAAGTAGTAGTCAATGGAAGTGATATATTTTCATGAACATCTCTACAATCTGAAGTCCATTGTCATCATCATTTGTCTTGATGTTGTGATCGAAAAACAGATGCTCAACTTTAATAATTAAAATAAAAGTAGTGCAATATCTGGAATGTTTAGAGAATTGAAAGCATTGGATAATTGATCGATTAGCACATTTATAGACAGATGAGATGTGTTTCTTCATCAGTAAATTAAGCAAAGAAAAAAAAAGATCTGAAGTTAATTCCAAAAACTTGCATTTGATATTTCATTATGAGATCCAAAAAGATACTGATGAACATGAAAGAAGTCATCATTAGGCTGAACACTTTAAGAGTGGCCAAATCAACAATCCAGTGCATTGTTAGAACATAATAAATGCACTGAGCAGCTCTGCAACCGTAAGGGCTTTAAAGAACACAGAAGAAAGCTAAAATGCATTATGACAGAATTATTTCCATGGTTAAGAACAACTTAACCATGTCAAGAGAACTCTTGAGGAGGAAGATGTATCATTTTCTTGCCTGTCAAGATATGTTAACAATGAGTAAATATAGAGTGAATATATACAATCAATAAATACAGAAAGTAAATACAGAGGGTTTACACTAAAGTGCAAATCACTGGTAAGATTCAAGAACCGGAAGACCAGATTACTCTTTTCCAGAAAATATCTAAAAAAAACTCTGCACATTTCTGGAAAAGAAATTCTTTGGACAGACGAAAGGAAGACTGACTTACACCATAATGATAGAAAAAGAAGAGTATGGAGAAGGAAAGGAACACATTACAGTGGAGGTAAGGTTCTGGCACGGGCATGTGTGGCTGCCAAAGAAAGTGGGTATTTAAAGTGTTTACTGGTGATGTTACTGTTGATATAAGTAGCAGGGTGGATTCTGATATGTAGAGGCCTATACTTTCTGCTCAAAGTTAGACGAATACTGCAAAACTGACTGGACCATGCTTCAGAGCGCAAATGGATAATGACCCAAAACAATAGCAACCCAATAGTTGCTAACAGTCACAACCTAATAATAGTCAAGGTAAAGAAATTGTAATTTCTTCACTCATCATCAATCTGATCTCAGCCCAGTAGTACATGCTTTTTACTGAAGACAAAGTGAATGCAGAGAGACCCACAATGAAGCAGCAACTGAGGTAGTTGCCTAAAGGACTAGGAGAGGATCTCCCCCCATATTTGATGATGCCACTTAATTCAATTACTTATGAGACTCAGGAATTACAGGACTATGCATAAAAGTATCTATCACGCTTAAATATTTAAGGCAATACTTTTTTTAATTGCCTTGAATTAAAGCTGAAAATCTTTGCTTCATCCACATTTTAATTGTTTTCCTCGAAATTCCCTGTGGCAACGCTCAAAGTCAGAATTACAAAAAAAATTGTCATCCAGAAAGTTATGGACCTCACTGTACTTCTTTTATTTGAGACAAATATTCCATTAACATGTAGCTAATACATCTATCTTTAAACAAATTTCCCTCAGTAGCTGTCTTTCAGTAAAGAGCACAAGACTGACAGAGGAGGGTAATTACATTATAGCTATACAGAGACCTTGAGCTGGACTGTGTAGATATTCAGAGTTTAGCTTCAGAGGCTTTCTATTTTACTTCTCTGACGTCAGCTCCCATGACACACATCTGCTTGAGAGACAAAGAAGGGACAGGAGTGCAGTCTGAGAGCACTCTTTTCCCTCTCTTGCTCCTCTAGATTCCACTCACACCAGGGATGGGATGTGTGAGACTTAGGTCGAAGTGGTTTTCTTCTGAGTGGAACCCTCCAGAGTCAGTAACCAATCAGAAAAAGCCATGATTCTATTAGGCAGTACAGAAGGCCATGTACCAGTAATCCTGGTAGATGCTGGAGTGTACTGTGATTGGCCACATGCTGGCACTCTCACATACATTAAATGCTCTTCACAAGTATATAGGTAACAGAGAATTATGTGGTTCCCATCTGACTGTCTTCTTTGTGCTTTTTCAAGGCTCATCACTCAGCATCTGCAATCGTGTACACTCTGCTGTATGGGATGACAGTACCAAAAGGACAATGAAAATCTATTACAATGTAGTGTAAGCATATTAGCAAACAATGTTTAATTATTTGAAGACAGTGAAAATTAGAAACATTTGTCTGCTCTGAGGGAAAACAACACTTGACTATCGAGAGCAAAAGAGATGTTAGTTAGAGCTGCCATCTCCATCATCTGTGTCCAAAATTCAGCACTGATGAAAAAACAAGGAAGAAGCATTGTATATGTTATTGTATTGCATTGTCAAATCGTTTTTGGTTTTTAAAAGTCTTTAAATATTTTAACGTAACAATTGTATACATATTTATTATTGGAAATATGCTAATTTTTACAACCCTACAGCAAACTTTTATCTTAGCAAAATTTACTCTAACCAAGCAAAGGTTACTCAAAGTTGCAAAGACAAAGCAAAATTACCATTAGGCCATTGGCTTATTGTTTTGGAAGACAATGCAAAGCTTTTATAGTTCGCAATCTTTCTGTCCTTCCCTACTGGTCCTATGTACAAAAATACAAAAAAAGTCTATTATCATTATCATTATTATTATTAGTAGTAGTATTAGTAGTAGTAGTAGTAGTAGTAGCAGTAGTATGTCACCATTAAACAACACTGTGGGTTTTGGACAGAGCTAATTCAGATATTTATTTTTAATAAACTGGGGAATCTGTTTCTAAAAAAACCAATAGATAGAAATACTCATATGGCACATCTACAGATGGTTTGCTTTTATAGGGCAGATTTTAAATTGTATGGCATTGAATGCACTTTTTGCCTTTTCTTTGTTTTGAGGATTCAACCTCAAAGTTTGTTAAGAGTTTATAATATAGGACACTGGTAAGCTTTGACTCTATCACAAGGTCCAGGTTAACTAATCTTCGAAATATTGCTAATCCTCATTGACTCGAAATCAATTGCTAGGCTCCTTGTGGATATTCAGTGATAACAGATTTTTGTTTTTGTCTGTCTTGCAGTGGCAAGATGGTTATCCAAAGTGTTGGTTTATTAAGCACATCAGATTACAAGGTCACTATAAAGACACCAAAGTTAAATAAAGATAGGCCCACCATGTCCCATTTAAAATTCTTCATTTTTGTAACTGAGCCCAGTGTATGAATATTGATTAGTACTGGGATGGGATTTTCTACAGTTCTGGCAGTTTGTTTTTCCTCATGTCCTTAACAATGTTTATTACCAGCCTTCATTAATTCTTCAAAGTCCCCAATTCATTTCTTTTTTTTTTTATCTACCTCTTGTCCTAATCATGCTTGTTTTGGTCTTTATCATTTTAAATTCATCCTTAAACACTGTGATCATCACAAATCGAAATCTCATCTGACTCAGGTGTCTCTTCTTTGAGTCCAAAAGTACAGTCAAAAGTTTAAAGCTGTCTCTTACTGGGAGATGCTCTACCTTAACTGCTGCTTGTGCAGACTAAACAATAGTAGAGGTGATTAAACCGAACAAAGATATTAATCCTTTCTTGTTTGATGTGATGGACAGCCCCAAGGTGAAAGTTTTTGTTTGTTCATTTTCTTGTTAATTTTGTTGTTAATTTTCTTCCTTTTATCTATTCTCTGTGGCGATGAACGTGCACACTCGTATGCAAGCATGCTTATGTGTGCGGTATAGGCCTGTCTCTCCTGAGGTGGCTGGTGATAGAAGTAGTTGTTTGTTTTTGTTCACTTCTCTTTTTCCCCTCGTTCTCTTCCTCTAGGAGAAGACGACCGACTACTGTACCACCCGCTAATCAGCAGTGCTGAGATTAACTCCACAGAAAACCAAACAAACAAAGAGAGGGAGAGATTTTTCTTTTCCGCCTGGGCTTGGCAAGAACTCCTCCCTTCCCTGGATCCCTCGTTCCTTGTCCGAATGGAGACAAGAGGGAGCGCAGAACAAAGGAGTAAGCATCCCTTTGTTGGGATTAGGTGAAAAGAGAAAGGCTCTTGTATTTGAGGCACTAGGCGCATGTTTCCTCATCTAATTTAATAACGTGCTTTTGTGCCTTTGAGATATTTTGTGCTTGTGCATCTTTTTCATATATGTGTGCATGTGTGTGTTTTTGGAAGTTCAAACCTCACACCTATGAAACACCCTGGTCATGCTGATATGTTGGTAACTTGTACCATGACAAGAGACAAAGTGATTCCAAATAAGCCACTCTGACCTGTGAAATGGCAGCGAAAGCTTCGAAGCCGTGTATTTTGGCAAGGATCTTTGTGTCACTATATGCATGTGTGTTTGTTTGATAAGAATGGCTGTAAAAATAACCACAATCTGCTGCAGTGTGGTACATCCGTATGTGGTTTGATGGGATTTGAAATGCTTTTTTTAATTTGTCTTCATTTACAGTTTAGCCATGTAAAATGAAATAAATAAACAGACTAGGGATGACACGAGTGCTCTGTCTTCCTCATTCTGTACTTCTGCACCGCACTTCATTAACTTTTCTGCTCTAAGCAGAAGAGTTTTAATATCTCTCTCTCATACGGTCATGTTCTAAGTTTGTGAGCGTGTCGTTTGGCAGTGTTTGGGCCTCTGCATGTTTGTGAATGGTACAAGCAAGTATACTGGATGTAGAATCCCTTAATGAATTCAGCTCCTGAGAGAATAGTTATGATGGCAACATCTGCCACAGGCATAGCTGGTGTCACATTTAATTTCTTCCTCTGCACACAGTTTTCAACTAAGAGCTTCCTAGTCTTCCATGAAGTTGCTTCTAACCTGATGCAACATGATAGCCATGATTAAAGTCATATCATTCCATCGCTTCTGTCTCAGGGTCACTTGGTGTAAAAAAAAAAAAAAAACAAAACAAAACTTGTAGTGGCAGAAAATGTTTATTAAAAGACTGAAGCTGTCATGAATCGCTGTGCGGCAGGCAGGAGACTGGGAACTTGGAAAACTCACAGAGAGACACACACAGGGAGATCCACACAGCATGAGGGACGACGCAACACTGACTCAGAAACACAGGGTTTAAATACACTGGGAAGTAACGAGGGGAATGAGACACAGGAGGGCACAGCTGGGAGAAATCAGGACTGACGAGACAAGCAAAGCAGGACGCATTCACATGAGACACGGACCATCAAAGTAAAACAGGAAGTATCACACAGAGACGTGAACTTGACACAGTGGAGACAGCAACTAAGAAATACAGAGACATAAACCATAAGGCAGAGGTCTAAGAACCAAAATACACAGGGAAATACTCAGCTGGGAACACAAGAGACTAGACGAGAGAGTAACAAAAAACCAACCATGAGAACATAATGCACAATGCAGAGTGACAGAAAACAAGAAACTCAAACATGCAAAGACACACAATTACACAGAACAGAGGGGACACAGAGAGACATGAAGGGCAAGGGATCAAAACTAGAAGCCATAGAATAAATCACACACAAGTACAATAATACAAAAATCACAAAGAACTAAAAACGCTGGGTCAGGAGACCCAGGACCGTGACAGTACCCCCCCCCCCCCCCCTCAAGGGCTGGCTCCAGACAGCCCAAACACAGAAAAACAAAACCAAACAGAAAACAACCCAGGGCGGGCGGCGGGGGCCCAGGACGGAGGCTCGAACAGAAAACAAAAGAAGAGCACAGCAAACACTGGAGCCAAGAAAACAACCCAAACACAGAGCAGTTCAGGGGGCGACCATGCGGAAGGCAACGGCGGAGACGTGGAACCAGTTCAGGGGCCGACCGTGCGCAAGGCAACGGCGGCGGCGAAGGAGACAACGGAGCAGTTCAGGAGGCCGACCGCGCGGAAGGCAGCGGCGGCTCTCCAGTGTTAGGCGTGCTGGCCATGGCCCGGTGGGCACAGGACCAGTCGAGGCAGGACCAGGCGACGACGGGGCTGCAGCAAGCGAAACAGAAGCCAAAGACGAGGCTGGGCCAGACGGGGACGAAGACTCGGAGGCTGGGCCAGGCGGAGCTGCAGAGGCTGAGGCTGGGCCAGGCGGAGCTGCAGAGGCTGAGGCTGGGCCAGGCGGAGCTGACGTGGCAGGTGGCTGAACGGGCTCCTCGGGCCCTCCAGCGGAGACAGGTGGCTGAACGGGCTCCTCGGGCCCTCCAGCGGAGACAGGTGGCTGAACGGGCTCCTCGGGCCCTCCAGCGGAGACAGGTGGCTGAACGGGCTCCTCGGGCCCTCCAGCGGAGACAGGTGGCTGAACGGGCTCCTCGGGCCCTCCAGCGGAGACAGGTGGCTGAACGGGCTCCTCGGACCCTCCAGCGGAGACAGGTGGCTGAACGGGCCCCTCGGACCCTCCAGCGGAGACAGGTGGCTGAACGGGCCCCTCGGACCCTCCAGCGGAGACGAGGAGGTGCTGGCTGGGCTCACTGGAACCCCCAGCGGACGAGGTAGATGGCGGCACGGGAGCCGCGGAGTGCTGGATGAGCTCATCCGAGCTTCCAGCAGGAGCCGATGTAGAGCCAGAGAGAATTGGGACCCCGGGCTCAACGTTAAGCTGGCTAGAAAACTGCACTGCTATGGGGAACTGGGCCAAAGGTTCAGGTGCGACCTGAGCTGCTGGACACACGGGGACCTGAGCTGCTGGACACACGGGGACCTGAGCTGCTAACGGTGGAGAAGTAAATGACTGCACAGGGGACTGAACTGATGTCTGTAGTAACGGTGGTGGTGAGAGTGGAGTAGGTGGTGGAGTTAATGACTTCACAGGGGAATGAACTAGAGGTAGTGACGGTTGTGGTGCTGGTGGTTGAGTGGGTGACTGTGCTAAAGGAGGCTGCACTGGGGACACTGGAGACTCTGGAGACTGCACTGGGGAAAGCAGAGCTGCAGGAGACTGCGCTAGAGACTGCAGTGATGGTTGTAGTGGAGGTGTGACGGGTGGAGGAGTGGCTGAAGTGGCTGCGGGTCGGGCGGCTAGTGGCTCAGCTACAGAGCATATTAACGGCAGGGCTATGGGTTGAATGTCTGACTGAGTAGCAGCCTGAATGGCTGGGTGTAGTGATGGTGGTGGTGGAAGGGAAACAGGTGGTAGTGTGGATGACGGAACTAAGGGCGACTGAGTGGCAGACCGAACTGATGACTGAAGCGATGGTAGAGGTGAAAATGGAGCGTGTGGTGGAGTTAATGGCTGTGCTAGCGGGGACACAGGAGACGCAGCTTGTAGCTGGGCAGCTAAGAGAGCTTCAGGAGGCTGGGCAGCTGATAAACTGTTCACATTACCATCCGTAGCACAAAACACAGCCCCTGAACGAATAGTCCCACGGTTCGACACAGAAAAAGAGTCCTTACTCACCACAGCCGGCGATGTACAAGTCTGAATGTCCGGCTGTGGGGTGGCGCGCTGGCGGCGTGATCGTCGTTTCTTTTTTGATGATGGCTCTGACGGGCCGAGCGGCTCCACATCCGGCCCTTCAGGCAGGTGGGTAGTAGCAGCTGGGGGATGAAGGTGGAGCTCGTTGTGGATTAAATCCTGTTCGAGTGGGTGGAGCGCACTGAGTAGCCAGGGAAGACCAGAGATTAAACGCTGTAGTTTGGTTTCCACAGCACGGCGAAATTCCTTCCCCTCATGTTCGAGCCACAGATGCAGGAGTCTTTCCACGGAGTAGATAATGTCCAGACGCAGTTCTTCTGGTGGGTTGAGTGCTGCTGGGTCCATATCTGGTCGCGTCGTACTGTCATGAATCGCTGTGCGGCAGGCAGGAGTTGGACCCAAAGTGCAGGACTCACAGACTCAGGGAGGTGAACTCAAAACTCAGCTTTATTTGCTGGCAGGGAAAAAACATACAAACTAATCTAAACTGGGAACTTGGAAACCTCACAGAGAGACACACAGGGAGATCCACACAGCATGAGGGACGACGCAACACTGACTCAGAGAAACACAGGGTTTAAATACACTGGGAAGTAACGAGGGGAATGAGACACAGAAGGAGGGCACAGCTGGGAGAAATCAGGACTGACGAGACAAGCAAAGCAGGACGCATTCACATGAGACACGGACCATCAAAGTAAAACAGGAAGTATCACACAGAGACGCGAACTTGACACAGTGGAGACAGCAACTAAGAAATACAGAGACATAAACCATAAGGCAGAGGTCTAAGAACCAAAATACACAGGGAAATACTCAGCTGGGAACACAAGAGACTAGACTAGAGAGAGTAACAAAAAACCAACCATGAGAACATAATGCACAATGCAGAGTGACAGAAAACAAGAAACTCAAACATGCAAAGACACACAATTACACAGAACAGAGGGGACACAGAGAGACATGAAGGGCAAGGGATCAAAACTAGAAGCCATAGAATAAATCACACACAAGTACAATAATACAAAAATCACAAAGAACTAAAAACGCTGGGTCAGGAGACCCAGGACTGTGACAGAAGCACCTTATTTTATACATATTAAGATTGAGGAAGGGTATTTGCAGATTCAGAAGAGATTTGATGGGGATAATCAATTTAGCTTATACTCCAAATGGCTTCAAAGGTGACAGGATGAGGTTATTGACCTTATGTCAAGCAATAAATCGCTTAGAATTAAGCATTCAAGGTATTAGGATGTCAATAGGTTATCACAGAGATAGGAGCATATTTCGATGTCAGTGCTATACCTCAGAGAGAGAAAAAAAAACAGGAAAGCAATAGAGCCTTTGTTAAATCCCCAAACACAATACTCATTGCTAATAGCTCTTTCTAGTATATTGACTATGGTATTGGCTAATGCTCAGCCTGTCTGTATTCCCTTCACTGGAAACCAGAAAT